CCCCCCCCCCCCCCCCCGCTCTATCCGACTGGATCCAGGCCGCCGCAACGTTTTCAGATTCCCCCCTCGTGCCCTTAAGCAAGACATCCAGTCCCATTTCCTTTGCAGCAGACGACACGATGCTCTGGCTGCCTCGCAGAGGAGAGCAGGCAGAGAAAAAAAACGCTCTGAGCCGTTTGTGGAAGCTTCAGGACGCTCAGTGTTTCAAATTAAAGTCACTTATTTGTCACAAGGACCCAAGATTGTATCACAAGGAGCCAAGATTTAGCCATCATTTGCATGCAAATTTGGTCCTCTGAGAAAAAGATTGAAAACTTCCAACCCGAGAATATTTAACAGTTGAAAAAAGACGGTACTAAAAATAGACTACATTAACACACTTTAATCGGTCAGTTCTGAGCAGACTTATACATGTATGCACAAAGATCCATAATACACACACACACACACACACACACACACACTGGCATTGTTGAGTTACCTTCATTCTCTTGCACAGCTTGATGTGAAAGGCTGTTCGGAAAGAAAAGGAAAAAAAAGAAAAGAGAAAAATACAGCTTTCAAGATTGTGCTGAGCAAACATGCATGTACGAATTTCCCCCTGCACACACGCACACGGGCCCACAGCGGTACACACACAGCGGCACACACACAGCCTCCCTTTCATAGGAAACAAGAGCGCCTGACCTTTCACCTTTACCATTCAGCCTGTCTGGAAAAAAGCAAGCCTGGAATCGATCAACACTCCTCTGGCCCAGACAGCCTGCGCTGCCCTGCCTCCACCCTCCGTCCCCATCCACCCTTCTTATTCTCCTCACTCATCCCAGACTGCCCCCCCCCCCCCCCCCCCCCCCCTTTTCCCCCCCCCCACCCAGCCCTCCCATTCCCAGACAATCAATTCTATCTTACCTCCACATTAAGCCTGCGATACAGCAGGTTTGATTTGGGCTTCAGAGTCTAATCACAGATGCTTTGTGTGAAAAGGCTTTCAGAAAAAGAGAATAGATTGATAGGTCTGCCATAGCTGTCGTTTGATTAATGATGTTATTTACCGTCAAATGTAAGTGTATAAAACCATAACTCAAAAAAGGGGGGGGTTCCCCGTTAACCTAAAAGAATCCACGATAGCAGGTGTACCAACCTATTTAAATCAAATCACATTTATTGCAAAAATAACCAATGGAACTTCTGGAAATCAAAGATCTTTAACATTTTGTGGTTGTACCCTGAATTTTGATCTATTTTTGATGGGTTAATGGGCACATTTGGTCAGTTTTCTATTCCCTATAAAGTTTCCCCGTAGGGTAAAATGGGTCTAGGCTCTTGTGGGTACATTTGGGTCTCTTAATCTCTGTAGTGCCTCCCTATTGAGTACAATGGATGGGATGGGTTTGAAGTCCAATCAGGACACAAATTGAGGTTAAATTCTTTGAATGACTTTGTGGTAGAAAATTTAATTTAATCTAACTAAATGAAATCAAAACAGATCAATATTTTTACACAAACTACTCTTGGATTACATAATTTCTCAGAGGGAGCTGAAGCTGAGCTGGATTCAGTCTTTTAGTATTAGCTATGGTTATTTTTATTCATTTATTTTCTCTATACATATAGGACTGTGTGATATTAAAACATGACACATTCTCAGAATTTGAAAACCACATTATGCAGTCAGGGAAATAGGATATTTTTGACCCGGCATACATGTTTGAGTGTTTCAGTGAAGAAACCTGTGACGACAATGCTTTCAAAAATAGCCACAAAACAGTTTTAGTGTCATAAAAACGTATACTTGCTACTGGTAGGCTCATCTTTTTCATTCGTAATTTCCTGGCGAGTAATGAGGAGAAACTACCCTCGCTAGACGTAGAATTTCACCCCAAATATATGCAGAAGGTGAGTCGTTGCAGGAAGTTTGAAGTGTTAACCTGGAAGAAACAAGAAACTCACAAACTCAGCTTTTTCCAGACAGTCGTTTGCATTTTTTCCAAACTGTGGCATCGCACTACCAACATGTCTGGAGACACAAGACTTAACTTTAGAACATTATTCTGAAGGACAGTCAGTCAAAAAATCTACATTTTTCTAAATCCATCCGTCCATCCAGTAGACATACCAGTGATTCCCTGCATGGTTTGGGGGTGTGGAGCCAGTCCCACCTGAAACTGGGTGAGACAGGTTGCCAGTCCATCACAAGACCACACAGAGACACACAGCCACACAAACTTGCGCCAAGGGGCAATTTAGAGTCATCAGTTGAGCTCACGTGCATGTTTTTGGATGGGGGGAGGAAGCCAAAGCACCCAGAGGCAGCCCACGCAGACACAGGGAGAGCATGCAAACATGACTTAATTTAAATTAGGAATGATATTGAATACACTACTCTAGATCCTCATGTTTTTTCAGGGTTATATCCAAAATACCACCTAAAACACCATAATAAGTCAACTTTAATGTAAAAAACTAATGACTTATTAAAGTGAGTTGTAGCTAAGCTAATGTTTCTGTATGCCTCAATAGTGCGATCACCAATAGTTTTTAAAGATTTTGCAGAGGAAATAGGAAAAATGACACCCACACACTTGTGTTTTGAAAAGAGAGAGAGAGAGAAAAAAGTTTTCATGTCACGTGAAACCATGTGACTGAAAATGCTACGCCTAATTTCTTAGCCCAGACATCTCTGTGAGCTCTTAAACCACAGAACTGAGAGCCACATCTGCTTGGATGTGGAAACGCTCCTGAGAGTTGGGTTCAGCTCTACACAGGAGGCCGTCTTGGATTAGATTTAGCCGAGCAAACAAATGAGGCTCATGCTTGAAAATAACACTGGACCTAGAGCTGATGGGACTTGTTTTGCTCTTCATTATTTATAGCCAAAATAGAAAACATCTGATCTGATCTCAGAGGAAGTTTTCTACGCTATAGCTGTATGTCGTGTTATGTTTACAATTATACTGGCTCCATTCATTGCCATTGCATGAGGTTCAAATTTTGGGAAAAAATCGAAAAAGTTCCTTTCAACAAAGTAGATCGGATTTGAGTATTTTGCAAATATCCTAATAGCTGAATCCTGTCTGATCTTAGTTATTATCAGGCCACAGACAGACTTAGTTATCTTACACCGACTGCTGTTTTGGTCAGTTCAGGTCAACATTATGTCATTTGGAAGATAAGCTGGTGTCCGCCAGCCAGGCTTATCATTCCTTTGTCCTATTTTGAGGTGCATCTTAAAATAAATGGCACCCCTTTAAGGAGACCGGTTGTGGTGTGGATTGAGTGTGGCAGCTAGAGCACGTCGTTTTCAAAATTTGTGTGCATCAGTCATTATATAACATCAATATTTCACACATCATATTACGTCATCGATATCTTAATCCTACATCTTCATCTGTAAAAAGTTTGGAGTAAATCGAATCTTAGGCGGTAGATTTTTTTGCCTATTTCTGCCATGCTTTTATTGTATTCTAATCCGGTGAAGACATGATGCCTGCTCTCCAGCAGCGGCTCTCAGTGAAGGGTACATCAGGAAGAGGGGCTTTAGTTTCGGGCTTCCTCCTCCAAACGTCCTTCCTTTGATCCTTCCTTCTTCGCCCGGCGGACAGTCGCCCCGGTCCAGGTAAACTTAGAGCAGAGACAGTCCCAGCTTTGTGAAATGGAACAGTCTAGATACCAAATCTTTCAAATGCCCCTAAAAGACATTTCAGATTCTGAAAGGCAAGTTTTTGAAATATAGTTTCACTGAAGTATTTTTCATGATAATGAAAAGTTCAGATGGCTCCATTTAGTCATGGTTTTACAGTCATTTACACACTGTCTGTATCATTCATATTAATATAGATACAATGAACTACAAATCATTTGTTTGCGTTTGTTTAACAGTACATTTACATGATTATATTAAATTACGTTTTGTTTTTGCTCTATTTCAGCTTCATCTGTATAAAAAGTTCTGATCTGGAAGTGGTGGCAGTCTAATGTGGGTGAGTAATGTAGACGTCCAGATCCCCAGACCTTACAGCACACTTTCCCTCTTAATAGATTAATCTGAATGTGACAATAACGCAGGTAAATAACAACAATTCCCTAAATGTAGTTTCTGCCAAGCTCCTCTCTCAGTGCAAAGCACAACAAGTGAAACCCATTTTCCAAAAAAAACAAACAATGACAAGAGCAGTGCCGCAAATTTCAAATGTGACCTTTTAATGTGAGCACTGTGCAACATATGGGCCGTTTAAACTCTATCAGCCGCTGAGTGATCCACTTTCTACACATTTAGTAAATCTCATACATTTCTAAATCCTGCATTTCACAACAAGGATCATCTCAGTTTGTTCATGTGTTGTTTTTGCCCTTCTCTTTGGTAAACTTGCCTCCCTCTTCCTTTTCAGGTGCCCTCTGTCTTCAGTACATTCCACTGGAAGGTGTGTAGATCTCAAAAGTTTTCAGTTTTTATCGTTTGCCGTGGATTTGACTTTTTCGAGTCTTGCGGAACATTCAACGCTGTCGGTGAGTTTGTAACTCAGAGAAAACCATCGAGTGTTGAATGTAACCAGAGACTTGGCCTCCCGTCGGTAGCTTCATCCATCTGTGTGCATCAAACCTGACCAGCAAAACACACCCCTGGACAATGATGTGGACACCACAGCCGCCACAGGACTGAAACTGGCTCTGTTCCATTTAGGCGTAAAAGACATCCAAAGTGAACGGTTCCTTTCCAATAATGGTCATCTTTCAGCTAAGTTCTTGGGCCAATAAGGTAATTTCCTTAAATTTCCCTAGATGCTACGGCCTCCTGAGCTTTTATCTGCTGTGTGTTTCTGCAGATATCTGGGATTAGTTAGGAGCTAATAAGTTTAATAACCAGACTTTGTCCTGGTACAGGCAGCTTTTCTTCATTAGTCTATATATTTTCTACCGAATGTGTATTTATGTATGTAAAGGTTTACTCAGAAATTGGGTTCTGAAGGTCCAAATGTCTTGATTACAACATTTTAATTACAGAAAAGGACATGATTCGTTGAAAACGTCTAAAACCATTTTAGTCTAGGTTAAAAAGATTTGTGTCTGTAAAATAAAATGAAGTATCTGTAGAGAGGCGGAAACGCAGCGTTATGATGTTGAACTGATTGACAGTAAACATGCTGAATACAGGGACGGTGGATCATTTGATGACCTGATGGTGGAATGCAGAAATAACTTCATGCAAATGGAGTATTTAGTTTTTTGTACATTTCCTCTTTAAATTATGAAGCCTAAAGGTCACTTTGACAGCGGAGAGCACAATCCATCTGACTGGCTTCCTCCCATCTCGGGCTGGGTCAAACCCCCCATGACCAGCCCCCCCGGAGCAGGATTTAGGCTCACATTCATCGCTGTCGGTGGGTTGGGGAACGCGTCAACTCGCCGGACGATGAATGCCAGCTGTATCGATGCAAAGCTGCTTTTTCCGAGCTGCGGCCGGCCGAAGAAACAGTGGGAATCTGCCCAGTTGCTTTGTTTTCAATGTTTTCATGGAATAATGTGAGATGCTTTGTCAGCAGAGGTTGAAACAAATAAAGATTTTGGAACTTAACCTAAAGATTCACCGCAATCATTAGTCCAATGTTCCATATTTTCTGTAAAAACAGTGTGTCTGTACAGCTGAAAATCTCATTAAACTGCTTTCAGTGGAAGAGCAGGATATTGGAAGGGAAATGGTGAAGGGGGGGGGTTCATTTCCCATATTTTTCAGTTTTGTTTTTTCAGAATGCTCAATATGTCAGATTGTTAATGAAAATCAGATGTTTAAAGTGTCAATTGATGCCCATTTAAAGAATTCCGACGTTTCTGCAGTGAAATAGAACACTGATTTAACAATTTCACAATTTTACCTTGAAGTCCTAGTGTGTGATCACACCTTAAACAGTGTTACTTAGTTGGACGTACATTGGTTCAAATTGTGCTTGCTTTGCAACCAGTCCTTCAGATTGTGTGCATCTTCCTGTTATGGATAGCTTGCCGGCTCCCACCTTGTTCCCCCTCATTTGTCGGGACCCGGAGCCCCCGTCACCTCCATCATGGTGTGTAGGCAGTTTGCAGTCATTTGCTTAATGGCCCAAGTGGGGAAATTTGACAAGGCTCTTCTCACTGCGGGACAGACGGGGAGACACACAACACCGGGTAATGGGCCCGGGTCAGGTTCAGGCTCCAGTTTCCTCCTGCAGGAGACAGATGGCGGCTCCTTTTTCACCTTGTGGCCTCTGTAACCTCTGCGTGACAAAAGCTGCCGGGTATCCGTGGGACATCTCCGACTAACCACCCGACTTCCCAGTGACAGACGCAGGGAAACGTGGGGAGGAAAAAGCTGCCCGAGGGGGAGATGCGGCAGAAAGAAAACGACTGGGCCAGAGCGTGGGGGAAACGCAGTTATTCCTTCTGCCTACTGTTGTTTTCCTTATCAGAGTTCAGGTGACTCACTTGGACTTTTGATTGCTATTGATTTGACCCGTTTTGAAAACAAAAGGTCCCAGAAAGGTTAAAGTCAAATATTGAAATCTTTTAGGGCCCGGGCCCACTGCAGTGGTAGGGTTAAAACAAAGTTTATATTTAGATTATGTTGAAGATCTGTGTAATGTGTAATCTGTGTTAATCTCCAAGAGAAGCAAGAGGCCCTATTGATCTATATAACAATTTAGTCTAAAAATAAACTGTATTACAGGTTCATTCAGTGGGAAAGAAAATGAGCAATGGTGTCAATGTTGGAACTAACAAAGAAAAAATACAATTCAGAATCTAGTAAGCACAGACAGACCTCTAGAGTTGAACCGATATTACTACAACCAAATTGCATGGATGCAACTAAGCAGTGGTGGAGAAACACAGCACATTTATCTAACAAAATATCAAATCTGTTATGTTTTGATGTCCAAACGCTGTTGAAACACAGCACAGAAATAAGAAAAAGAGGAGGTACTTTACTTTTTAATTACATTAAAAATGGAAGATAAAGCAAAGCTCCTGCACACTAAAGAAAGTTCAGTTATTTAGGAGGAAATCGAGTTGATCTGCTGATTACTTTTTACATGAAGTGATTCAGAATTTTTAAAAACATGCTCTGTTCAAATGCTGGTATTCTGTACATGGAAAGTGGCCGAAACCAATATCAGTGATGATTTTAAAAAAAAGTAAAAATACAAAGAAGAATCGTAGTGCTTTTGTATTGTGCCTCGTTTTTGACCAGTTGCTCCATATTTCATGAGTTTGTTGGAAATTAGGTTCTGATCCATTGATGGAAAGCGATCACATAAATCAAAACAGAAGTAAAACAGGCGTTTCATTTTCTTCACAGGTTTGTTCAAGAAAAATCACCATTTTATAGAACATAGAACACTTCATGGCGTGGGCCAGAGCCAGTTCAGCTGAGTTTGTAGTTTAATACATCCTGAATTGTTCAATCACTAGATAAGACTAAATAAAATCCAAGAAGAACTGTATGCACAATTTAGCATTTTTATCTTCCTAGTTCAGTTCAGTTTAACTCACTTTTTCCACATATAAAGAGGGAGATGCTCCATTAAATACAACATGGGACATGTTTGAGATGAAGGATTTATGGGTAACAGAAAAAGGTACTTGGGAATAACAGATCAAGGTCTAGTAAGGAAAACCATTTCAAAATTTACAGAAGGGGATTAGGGCCACTGTCGGATTTTTAAACCCAATTGTCACGTCTGGGGGAATTTTTGGTGTTTTGTCCTTTCTCTATGGTTGTCTTGTCATTTCTTGTCTTATTATGAAAAGTACATCCCCTTGTTTTAGTTTTTTTGCACTCCCCCTGTGTGTCACATGTCTGATTGTCTTCCTTGATCACCTATTGTGTACACCTGGGGTTCCCTTCCCTCATGTGTTAAATAGTCCTCTTTTCCCTTTATTTGGTGCCAGTATGTTTTGTCATTTCGTCGTTTGTCATTTGTCGTCGTCTTATGACTGTACTGAGCCTGGTCTTGAACCTAGCCTTTCCCTCAATAGTTTTGATTTTGTACTTTGTTCACAGCTTGTCTGCCTCATTCGACTGATTATTATTTGATACTTTGTTCATAGTTTTGTCTGCCTTGTTTTGAACTTTGTCTTGCGCTTTTGGTTCAATAAAACCTTTTTGAACCAACTCTCTGCATCTGAGTCCTGCCTCGAATTCCATTCCCGACACCAATTTATGAAAAAAAATCGGTTTTCTTTTAGAAATAAAAAAACTAAAAAAAAACTATTCCAGAATTTTTTTTCCATGTTTTTGGCAAAAAGCCTGAATTCTGAGATTAGAGTCAGAACTCTGACTCTTTTTTTTCTCAGATTTTTTTCTTCTTCTTTGGCTCAAGTAAAACCTAAGTAAAACAATGTCTAAAGTATGAGTTGGAAGAGTACCAGCCGACAAAAAAACAGACATCTGGTACATATTGGGAAATACTTCTGTGTCCGACACATGGTAGAAATCAGGGGGATGCACGTGCACGTGCATGGGTGGGTATGGAGCTGGATTTGGCTTTTTGTCCGATTTTCTGAGCAGACTACAGCACAGAAGCAGTCGGACGGTTTGTGACTCCACTCGACCCAACCCCATTTTGTGCATAGGCCTTAACATGCTCGGGAAAACAAGAAAAGCAAGTCTCCCACCTGCTGTGATCTGTCTCTGGCTCCTGGCATCAGGAGTTCTGGTCAGAGCGGAGGACGCCATGAAGGGGAGTGCAGCCCTTTCCAAGGTGAGATATCACCCGAAAACACTGGTGGAATGTGTTACTTTTCATGTAGGTTTTTTAAAATGGTTTTGATTTAAACTTTAGATCTTACACCTCTTTTGGATAATTTTTCTTGGTAAAGACATCCATTTAAAATAAATGGTGCTATTGTAGAATTTGTGCTGCTCTGTGTATTAATGTAATACAGAACATAGATACCACTTAACTGTTTGTTGTTTGTGCATTCTTCTCTGTAATTTTAAAAATCAAATCCCCGTTCACTGACAACATCTTTATCCTACCACATGCCACACCAACATCACATCTTATTTTCACTGTCCCCTTCTTTAAATGTTTAGCTTTCTCTCGGTTTTCCACAGCTGGACAAAACGCCCTCTTTCTTCTCTGGCTCTCTGACTCTGAACATGTTACCACAGGAAATGAGGCTGTACACACCAAGGGAACGGATTTCAAAGACACTGGAAAACATTTTGGGAACACTGCTTTTGTTTTTAGAATTTGACTCTTCTTTCATTTTATTGGTTATTGGTTAAATCTCTATATAAAGTGTTCTCCTGTTCAGAATAGGTCAGTGATAAGATACCTGCATAAATATTCATAATCAAGCATCATGAGGATAATTCCGCACTGATTGAGCTTCAGAGTAGGGTCTGACCTGCTCTGTTTGGAAAGCGCTGTGAGACAACTGTTGTTGTGATGTGGCGCTATATAAATAAAATTGAAATTGAAATTGAGTCGTGTTACATTATTTAAACATGAAACAACAAAGGCTTTTACCATCTTTTGCTACAGTGTGGAGAAAGTCTGAACGCAGTCTTTTTGCATGTATGAGCAGGCAAATCTGCCTGTCACACTTTGTTTCATGTGTTTCTGGTCCACTCTGAACATTCACCATCTATCTCTTCTCTGGTTTGGATTTTTTCCAGAACCCCATTCGTCAGTCGGCATCTCTGTGTGCCGGTGAACAGGAGTATGTCGACAGGAGGAAGCAGGTCGTTCTCCAAGCACTCAGCACCCTGAATATCAGCTGTACTTTGGTAAAATACAAATACACATACAACCCACTGTTGATTTCTCCAATGCCTTGAAAGGCTTACAGTCACAGATGGCTCATCAGCTCATCCTCACATGACCACTGAATGATTTTGACACTAAATATCACAAAAGCTTTAGTTTAAACACGTCACAGTATGATGTTGCCTTTAGAAAATTACTGGTATGATTCATTCAGTTGGTCATCCATCCTTTAATTCAGAGTTAGCATCATATTAGCAACAAGCTGCAATACACGTTTTAAACGAGGGAACGTCCAGCTGACGTGATGCACAAAGTCAATTCATTTAAAACAAATGAATAAAAATGTTAGAGCCCGGTCATTTTCCATCGGTTGTAGACCAGCTCTGGGGAAATGCTACATTTCTTTGTATATTCTCTAATCCATGGCTCCGTGTGTACATTTAAAAAATGCGTATAAAAGTTGGAACCTATCCAGGCCTTTCAAAGCCTTTAAAAAAGGTGCCGCACTGCAGCACAACTTATGAGAAGAAACCAGTACCAGTGAGAAAGTGTGTTTTTACAAGGCCAACTCCATGCTGGAAAGAAAAACAGCAAAGGAGACAAAAAAGTAAACATATATGCAGCTTACCCATACCAAATATGTATATGTGATACACAGGAACTATTATAGGAACTTTGACTTATAAGTTATTATGTTAACTATAATATTCCATATATATATATATATATATATGTATATGTAAATGAATGTACCAGGTAAACAAGCCATCTTCATTTGAGTATCCCTTCTTGCTGTTTTCTGTCCTAAAACTACTGATCTTGCACTTAAATGCAGTCAGTAAACACCATGATGTCAATAAAATGGATCAATTGGGTCATCTCCTCATGCAGGATTCAGTTCCCCACATTGCCCTGCTGGCTTCTGGGGGAGGTCAGAGGGCAGCTGTGGGCTCAGTGGGCTCCCTCCATCAGATGGGAGAAGAAGGGCTGCTGGACGCCCTGCTCTACATGGGAGGAGTATCTGGGTCAACCTGGTAATTCCACTTTCACACATCTGAATAAGTTTGTGCATGAAGGACAAGACAAAAACCAGCCAGACTGTTTAGAACACCCCCAAGGGGCCATTATCCCCCAAAACCTGCGATAAGTGAAAACCACAATTTTCATTATCTTGAGTATTGTCTGATGTCATTCTCCTTTATCTCTGCTGTGTGGAAATCATTGGATTGGATTAAATCCTCGGGGTGGAGAGGATTTAAACTGAAATAAAAGAATCCATGGCATCGCCCTTTAGACCCTTTACAAAATGTATAAATTCACTGTCGTTTAATCCAATAAATCCATGGCTTGAACTTTAAAACGCAGTATACATGAAGGATGTAGCAGTAGCTTAGCCTATCCCAGCTGTCACAGCGGGACGGGCGGGTGCACCCAGGACAAGGTTTACTGTACTTAGCACCAAGCATAGGCAAGAAAACGGTGCTCAGCAATGTGGGAAGTTTCAGGAAATTACTTAGACCAGGCCAAATCTAGCCCATTCAGGGAGCCAGCAGTTCTTCCTGTCCAAAGGCGCCTTGTGCATCTGGATTGTGATCTAAGAAAAGATTTGATGTGATCTGTTGGTTTCCTACGCAATAAAAAAAGACTACCTTGATATCGAATAAATTGGAATTAATTGGATTCTAACTGGCTTGAGTTGAACTGTGATTGCGTTTGTTGTGACCTAACAGTATAGAAATTAAGCAGAAATTAAGCAGAATCTCACTGAATTGTAATGTTTCCTTTCTCTAAGTGATTAAAGGATTTGTAAAGGGAGGAGCCTGACAGCTGGGTGCTCTTCCTTCTGTTCTACTTTTAAAAAATCGAGCAGCCATAAGCTGACCTTCGCATGAAAATTGTATTGACAATTGTATAATCAACAAAATTCACACGTTTCTTTAGTACAAGGATTTTTCCCTAAACTTAGACATAACTTACAACACACTGGTGGCCTGTCCAGGCTGGGATAGGTTCCCTATAAGCACTGAGCTGTGTAGAAAATGTTTGCGTAGATAATGGATACTGGTTCATTTAGGCTACGATTGGACTATATTTGTGTTCCTCTGTGACAGGGCCATGGCCTCGCTGTACAGTGACCCTGAGTGGAGCTCCAACATCGAGGCGGCCATTTCCACGCTCACAGGCCCTGGGGTCAGGCTGGAGCAGGCTTTGGATTGGTTGGGCGAGAGGGCCAAAGAGGAGCACTTCTCCCTCGCTGACATCTGGGGGGTGCTGACCTCCGCTGGGATCATGAAACAGGTACCGGCAGCACTCGCACGCATGAGATCCAGAGATAGCAGAATCCCTCATGGGAGCATCTTTGGTTTCAAAAGATGGATCCGCGACGTCTTTCGGAGGAAGCCAGCAGGAACGCGACCAACCCGTACCCCATCTACGGCGCCATAGAGAAGCACTGCTTCTCAGAGGGGCCCATCCAAGGTACACGCTAACGTATGCTCATGATCCATCGCCTGGTGTGAAGGGTAAAAGCATCCTTTTGTCTCTTAGGGAAATGGTTCGAGGTGAGCCCTCACGAAGCAGGGTTCACAGAGTTGGATCTCTTCATTGAAACGTCTCTCCTGGGCAGCAAATTCCAGAGTGGAGAGGTCCTGGAGGTGAAGCCGGAGATGGACATCATCAGACTGCAGGGTGTGTGTACATAAGCTAGCTTTGGTGTGCAATAAGCTAAATGGATTAGGGGAAAAATGTCATTGTGGAAGTCAAAGTCCTTTTCAATATAAAGAAGACACACACTGACAGAAAGGCATCAGACAAAACTACAGAAGTGATGAGGTGGAAGGTAAAGTTCAGATAAAAACTCCATTAATTAATGGTGAGGACGTTTACATGATCCATTGCATTTCCTTTTTTCCGGTTTTCTTTTGGTTTGCACAAATGTTTTTTACCACCATGTTTTGTGCTGCAACAAAAAAATAATGATAAGAATAACAATTCCCCAAATTGAGCAATAAATAGCAAATATCAAGGAGTAAAAATACAGTTTATAAAAAATCTGTGAACACAGGAGCTTTTATATTTTTGTATGTATGAAACTGCTTGTTTTCCACCCGAGGAACAATCGTTGAGGAAACAGAAAAATGAAAGATTGCAGCTACAATAGAGATACAGGAGAAATAAACTTAAATATACTTACGATTTTTTGGGAAAAAAACACTGTATACAGAAAAATACTGGAGCTTTTTTTTTCTTTTTTAGTAATTCATGTATTTAAGTGTCAACAGTTCTTTAAAGAAAGTGAAATTCCACCTTGAGCAAGTGTAAAATGATGTTGATATGAAGATTAGCTGTTCATATTGACTATTTTTTTTACAAATGTATTATTATTTAAGTCGCAAAAGGGCTCAGAGACGGACAATGATACAGGCCAAAGTCGAAGCCAATTCATTAGCTGTTTTTCAAAAGTCTGCAGCTAAAAAATCTGCATCTGTAATATGTGTGTCATCTTATGTGCATAATTATTGACTGTCGTGGAAGGCTGTATCATTTGATACTGTTTTTTCTTGAGCATCAACCTTGGCTTTCCTCATTGTGCAGGTGTTTTAGGGTGTGCACTGGCTCACATGGAGATAATCAGGGAGTTCCTTCCTCCTTGGCTGAACGGTAATTGCAATCTAACGTTGGGTGCCACTCTTTGCACACGCAGTGTTTGATCTTGAAGCTTTACTCCATGGTTTCAGTGCCTGGCTACATGGACGTTTCTACCCGAGAGTACCTGCGGGTGTACAGCACGCTTGACCAGCTGGTCGTCCTGTCCAGGAGCACAGTGGAGGACCCCGGTTCTCTGTCCGACTTTGACGCGCTGCAGAAAATACTTAAAGGTAGTGGAGTGGACTTTATGTGTGGCTGTCTGACGGCCTATGAGCTTTCTGCCAGCGATACATTGAGACAAATAGCGTCAAGCATAAGCTTTTATCCACTCTGGCTTTCGATTTGAAAACTAATGATGGCGACTTTGCCCAATGTGCTCGTTGATGCTTCTTATTTTTGACAGAAAAGGTCTATCTAAATGAGTCTTCGGTGCTGGAGTCTAAGAGTCCAGAAGAGAGGAGAGCTCTGTTTCAGCAGTGGACCCAGGACCTGCTGGTGGCGGTCGAGACTTGGAGCCAAAATCTCCAACCTGGACCTTTCAAAACGCATGGTCGGTGTCTCCTCAAGGCGCCGGACAACCAGATCAGGCAACATCTTTAAAAGTCACATATTCAGTTGCTTTTTGTCTCCCCTCCAGTTTCTTTCCTCATAAGAAAAATCATTCCTCTTCTCATAAAATGGGAATGGGGAACAACCAACAACTTCCTCTACCAGTACCAGGGTGAGCAAGCAGACTTCTGTGTCTATGTCAGTAAACTAAATTGACTTGCACTGGTCGTTGTGTATGATGCAGGTTACTGTTTTCCCTCAACAGAAAAACATGGCTGCATGCTTTAAAGCAGGAAATCAACAAATAAACTGAAAGATAGTCCTTCATTCATTACCCCTACCGCTTATTTCCCAGCTATTATTGCTGCCATCTCATGAAAAACAAAGATCCCTCATGTGTTACTTGCTTATAGTGAGGATGAACCCTTCATCTTGCCCAATGAAGGCTGAGACAGGCTCTAGCGCCCCCTACTAGGAATAAGTGGTAAAGACAAGGGATCAGAGAGTGTAGTGGACATCATGCAGTATCATAGCAGGAAGGGGATTTATTCAGTTCATAACTGTAAAAGTTGATCCTGTATGGGGATTAAATTTAGGGGAAAACCCCTGGATTCAAACTTTTGGAGATGGATTTTGCCCACAGATTCCGGAATTCCAGAGTGCCTCCGCTCTCAGCAGCAGTTTCATCTGATCGATGCGGGGATGCTCATCAACGTGGGCTACCCCTCGTTTCTGGGGGACAAAAGAGACATCGACCTCATCATCGCTCCAGAGTACAGCGCTGGTGACATGTTTGAGGTGATGTAGGATAGTGTTTTTGATATCCTTAAGGCGTAAAAAAGTGAGCTTTTTTTTCTCATCCTTTTTCTCTCCCGCTCATCCAACTCCTTGATTTACTTCAGTCCTTTCTCAGCTCCTCTTTAACAGGATATTATTGTGGACATTTTTTAATCTTAGTCTATGAAGCACCAGTGTCCACTTCAGTGGTCTGTGTGCATTTAAAACATAAAACCCATAAATACACAAGAAAATAGCTTTTAAATAGCTGTCCAGTGCAATGACCGCTCTGAATGAAAAGGTTAATTTTGCATGTGTGATGCCTAAATTAAGCAAATTGTGTGATTATAGGCATTTAAATATGCAAAGCTCCATCTTCACAGTCTGTTTGTGTGTGTTCTTTGCATTGTAGATCCTCTAGGTTGTCTAATGGCCAACGGTGAAAGACATCTTGAAGCATTTTCCCCAAAAGTTTCATATTGGATTTGCAGAACTAAAAAAGTACCAAATGAGCTATCAGATTGGGTCACATTTGTAAGTTTGTCCTGTCCTTGCCTGTTCCCCTTCAATAAACAGACCCTGATTCTCGCAAGAAACTACGCAGCTGAGGTGAAGAAGCCTTTCCCAGAGATAAGTGAGAAAATCCTGGAAGACAAAGATTGGCCAAAGGACTGCTATGTGTTTGAGGGAAAGGGGAAGGAGCCAACCATCATCTACATGCCGCTTTTCAACAGACAGAACTGCAAAGGTCAGCTCTTATGGGCTAATTCACCGCATCCAATTTAGACAAATACACAAATGAAGTGGGGCTCTTAATCTGTTTTGTTAGGATCATGTTTTTTAAGCTTTAAAGTTTATTTTTCAGAGGTATTCCCCGTTTGTATCTGGTTTAATAAGTGCTCGACCTCATAATCTGTTTTGTCTGATGACTCTGACGGCTGATTCCTGAGGGGTCCTCGTTGTGCCCTGCAGATGCAGAGGAGTTCAAAGCAATGATGGAGAGGTTTTCCACCTTCCAGCCTCCTTTCAGTCGGGAGAAGATCCACTTTGTGCTGGAGACTTCCAGAACTAACGTGAGGAACAACAGGGAGATTCTGCTGAGAGAGATAAACAAAGCTGCCCTCCGCCGGCAGAGCACACGGTGAGGCCGGCTCAAAGTGGGAGGGGTCAGGAAGGGTCACACAGAGGAGAGGTCCCCCTAATTCTTCAGCATGTCTGCGTTTCAAACTGGTGGATTTCAGATGTATTCTGAAGTATGAGCTCCTGTTGTGTCCGTGTGCTGGTGTGTGAGGCCGAGAGAGGGATGTAGTAGGTTGTGGATTTCAAAAATCTAACACATCTTCTTCTCAATCTTTTTTTTTTTAGGAGTGGTGTCGTTTGAACCTTTTCGGATGGACTCTCATGAACTCAAATCTGCTCTTTGATTTAGATTTCAACACAAACATTAAGCATTAAGGTGCTTCTATTTAGCCAGTTTGTATGATCCAAATATGATCCTATTGAGTAAAGGCATGCATGTTAAATAAATGTGTCCCACTGCACATCTTCATTTGGCGTCATTGTTCTGTACACATCCAAACAGAAGTCAAACTGAATGAACTAATACTCAAGTTTTGCCAGACAGAGTTATATAGAGCTTCGAATCCCCCCCCCCTTTTTTAGATTAAATTTATCTATCTAAAGGTAGTAACACCTTTTTAATTTGTTCCCATTGTAAAAGCTCAGTGGGTGTGGGAGTTGGACTTAAAAAAAAAAAAAATTCTAGTAATTTATATATTTGAAATGGGCATTATTTTGTATTTGGTTATTTGATTTACATTGGCACAGTCATTCAATGCTGATAAAGCATTAAACTACATGAGATTAAATAAACTTTCTGCCGCGGTCACGATTCAACACACAACATTAATTAAGATTCTCAAAGCAGTTAAGACTCCACTATGAATCTCACTTAATTGGATTAGAAAAAGTGCTGCGTTTGAACAGGCTCCCATCCTCTCGAGTCTCCATATTTAAACCAGACAGTTTGATTCACACAGTTTCATACAAAATACATCCCAGTTGGGTAAAAATCCTGCCTTAATGACATGTTAATTTTTATATGGATATTACAAATGCACGATACATCACACATACGCAGGATTGATCTCAATTTAATGAGATTCCCAGTGCGTTCCTTTGGAGTCATCCTTTAAAAAAGGATCCAAAGTTATGTCTAGTCTTAAAATATATGAAACTATTCTGTTAAAAAAGTATTTTCACTGCCTGATTGGAAGAAAAAATCCCTGTGTCAAATGAAACTGATTTCTAAATTTTAAAATGATTTTTTTTTTTAACCTAATTGCAGAAATTGAGTCGGTTAATCTGCTGAATTGGGAGGTTGCGAATACAAAACCTGATTCTTAAAAAAAGTTGTAAAACAGTTTGTCAAATGTAAATTCCCAGACAGAAAAAATAGAAAGAACTGTAACTGTATCCTTCAGTTTATGTTACATGTATTGTGCATCATATAAAGAATATGTGATTTACTTTATTCATATATTGTTCTAATAAATACTCAAATCATAGAAGTTTCATTTGTTCAGATTTACTATGGATCTTATATACGGTTTCACTGTTTTGTAATTTACACACGTTTCATATAAAAGATATGCTAATTTTATAAGATTTATCTTGATCTTTTCTGTATAGGTTTAAAGAACAAGATAACAATGTAGACAGTTTACAAAAGTTCAATTTATGTACTTTAAGTGAGAAATTTATTGTTTCTTTGACATATTAACTCAGCGTTCTCTCTTCTCAAACATCTGGGAATAATAGTTGTGCCTTCCACAGATGTGCTTGTCTCATTGTCGGTCCTCCATTTTGGTGTGTGTGTTTCATGATTGGGTTTTAGTTGTGGAGATAGCACCTGTGGTCCATGGAGCCTCGCTTCAGAAACAGACTGTACGTGGTTTTGCTGTTCATTTGCATTTGGAGCTTTAATAATCTGGGAATGTTCCTTAGAAGTCCTTTCAGGGACTCTTGAAGGCCCACTGGTGGTGAATGGTAAAGGGACTTGTATTGATACATTAAACTGACCAACCCCAGCCTGACCAGCTCCATATATTCCCCCCCACACACACACTCACACACCGGTGGCTTCAGCTGACCTGCTGCTCTTTTCTCCTGAGCCCCGGCGGCCTCTCAATGATCGCCCCGTTGGACTTTTGGGACTTCTGGTGGATAACAGCAGTGGCTTAGCAAGTTTTTATGGATTTAGACGCGGCATTTGCTCAAAGTGGGTAAAACGGTGGATGACAGTCTACAGTGAGTAGACTGTCATCCAGACTCTTCATCATCTAGACTCTTCATAACAAAGCAGATTTATCCATCCAACCATTTTCTATCCCGCCTCTTCCTCAGGCAATAAAAGAAATGTAACTGACTCAGAAGAAAAAGCCTGTTTTTCCACCAGATTTCAAGAATTGTGCTTAAATCTAGTTTGCCCGTTGCCCATTGACACGTAGGCAGATAGTGAAGTTTGGATACAAATCTGTCCCATAGCCCTGGTGGAGGCAAGTCAGGGGCCCAAACTTACTATTTGGATTGAGCTTCGCCCAGAGGAGCTGGAATCACCCACCAGTAAGGCCAAATACCCTGAGGTCAAGGGTTAGAGCTCACAAACTCAACATAACCGAGACCAACTAACAATAGATAACGCACATCTATTAAGTGTCAGCTTGGTCAATGAAAAACTTTTCAATTTAAAAACTTTTTTTTTTTCAGTGCTGTCCCACCGAGAAGAATGTCGGTCGACTGAGAACAACAGAATTGTGGATTTTAGAGGTCATAAAGATTTAAAATCGTTAGTTTTTAATCAATTTCCCAACTCCAGATGTCTATTTTCACCGTATATTTTCACGAGAAGATAAATGATGTGTGGGCCTTCTCAATTTATGTCTCTCCATTCTATTTCCCGTTAAATGATTAGTCCCCCCACCCTATTGGGAATGAGCGGGATAGAAAATGGACGGATGGACGGATCGAATGGAGTTCCTCAAAGCAGACACACGAGGTCGTGCTTCCTCCACACGAGACATTTCCAAAGCCTTGATTTAGGTCAGTCCGACCCAACAGCCGTGGCCGGCGTCACGCATCCGTTCCACCCACAGCGGGATGCTGTCAGATCGTGGCATCCTCTTTATGCCGCACAAACTGAGTCACCGGAGAGGCGAGTTCTCACACATATAGAATTTGAGGTGTGATAAGATGGGTGGTTTTAGTTAAGGCTTACGTGCAGATATCTCCTCGGGCAGATTCTGACTTTATTTAACTCTTACGCACTTTCGTGCGCCAAAAAGTCTCGAGCGCAATTTCATTTAGTTTAGTTTTTTTCGGTGTCTCCTATTGTTGCACTTTAGTGTGTCTGAATCTTGGGAAAGCAAACTAAGAGCAGACGCCGCGTGAGGTCCTGAAGGTGCCGTGCTTCTGGCAATCCGCGCGCTCCCCGCGCGCTGTGCGTCGACGGCACCGCGCTCCGCCGCAGACCCGCGCAGAGCCGCAGGCACCAGCCGCTCCTGAGAGAAGGACACCTGCCGCCAGCCAGGAGCGCATCCAGCAGCTGAAAACCCGAGGGTGGACATGACCAAGACACAGATCTGCCTGTAACATTTGTAATAACGAAAGCTTGGGAAGGAGCGGACCTGGCGGCGGAGACGAATCTCTTCCCTTCCAACCGGTTCGGCTTTCTACCCAAAAAAAAAGAGAGACACGGGAACAGCGAGAGGAAACAGAGGGGAGAAAATGCTTAAAGTTTGGTCGCGTCGCCTACAAGTGCGAGCCCGCAGCATCTGCAGCTCATGAGCCGGAATTAAACGAAGGATGCATGTCTTTTGGGATTTATCGGTGATTTTCCAAACATATATCATCTGCACTTCGTCAGGTAAGAACGCAAACTCCCACCCCGGAGCTCCAGCATCACATCATAAAGACTGAGAGCTGAGATCAGAAGTCTGAACGGGACGCTGGGAGGCTGGATGGGCATTAGGCTTTAAACAGCTTATTTCCTGTTTGGATGGGATCTCTGTGGTCACGCCGGGCTCATCCAGCACTCTGATCCCATCCAGGCTCAGCATCCATATAGACCACATAAGAGTGGCTTGCAATACACTTAATAAATCAACAGGAAGAGCAGTTTCAGAGAGTCAGCGCGCGCGTGCAGTATGCTCGTGTCAGAGGTAGCCGACCAGAAAGCCAAGATTCCCACAACAAGATGAGTCAAGGCTTCCTACTCATCTGCACTCAAACTGTCACCTGTGAGCTAGAGCTGTCATTTTCTGTGCTCCCAGACTGATATGCAGATATATGTAGAGGAACCGGGTCTTTAGTTATTGTGTGTGTGTGTGGGGGGGGGGGGTGTATTTCACACATGCTGCTGCCACTCCTGACACATATGCATAGATTTCTTTCATATAGAATATTAATATTTATCTCACCTCCAAAAAGGTGTTTTTAAAAGGGAACGTCTAACTGATTATGTGCATCATGACACTAAATCTATTCATTATTATTTACCTTTGTTAGATAAAAAAAAGACTCAAACATTCATTATTGAAGGCCTGTCTCCCATTATTAAGTCAGCAGCTTCTGAATTGAACAGCGTTTTCCTCTGGGATTAGTGGCTGCGTCTCACAGCTGTGACCACTCCCTCACAGAAACTCAGACCCACCTGGACAGATTGGGGTCTTCTGAGAGGTCTCCTCATCGCTGCCCACAGGTGCCCTCCTTCCCCAGGCTTTGCCTCCAGATTCTGGCCACGTGAAGGCCATCCTGGGCCTGCGTGCCACACCCAAAATACATCTTGTCCAGGACAACTTCACCACGTCCAGAGCCTTTGGTGTCTGAAGACCAATAAAATGTGCTGAAAGCTCTTTTGAAATGGTCCAAGTGCACCTCCACCACCTGGTGAGGTCCTCAGTTTGGGACAAGGGGTTAAGCTCCACCCGGGATGGACTCTGCTGTCCTTTTCTGAGCCGAGTTCCACTCGAACCCGACTTTTAGTTTCTGAAGCGGCCCTTTTGTACCAATTGGTGAGACCAACCGTCTCACACAGCGCCCCATCTCAAACCGGCTCATGAGGAGCATCAAGGTCCTCCACAGAAAATCAGCATTCTACATGAAGTCCAGCGCTAGCAGCAGTCCTGCTCATCTAGTCTGAGACCAGGCCAGAGGCCCAGATCCAATCCCAGCTCAGCTCGAATGTCAATCAACTGACATATTTCCTCTAAAAGAAATCCAATATAACAATATATATTTCACATGTGCATTTTATAGTTGTCAACTCACTCCATGTTGTCACACCCACCCCAAATATTAGCTTCCGGTAGCATTTCTTCCTCTCTAAGTGCCTCATTCATCAGTCCTGTCATATTTATATTTCTTAACATTATATTGAAAGAAGACCTTTCACATAAAAGAGAATTCGTGACATCATCAAGAAAAGAAGACACGATTCAGTATTTCACTGACTAATTTAATCTTCTTTTACCTTCCCACTCTTTTTTTGTGTCTTTTTTTCTGTCTCCCAGCAGCTCAGCCTATCACATCAAAGCTGGATGCGGGTTGGTGGGCATATAAGGATGTTGTCCAAGGAAGCTTTGTTCCAGGTAACAAAGAACCATTTTCTCATCCATTCTGCTTGCAATGAATACATTGATATGAAGAAAAAGACTTTTGGCATGTTGGGACCATTCTGGTTGCGTTTTGATGTTCAAAACATTTTTAAAAAATCATAAATTAGCTTTTTTCCCCCTTTATTGCTTTTGGTAGCTTTGCCTTTTGAGAATTGAAAAAGCCAGATGGAAACAGCTTTTACATACAAATTCTGGAGTAGCAAACATGAGCGATCGGCTCTAATTCTTTTATCCCGAAGATAAAGAGAAGATCACACAAAGAATTATGATTCCAATGGATATTAGTCATTCAAAACAAAACATCGAGGTGAGGAAATGTATATATCCTGAGGCTTAAAAGCACTGACAAGCAAAGAGAGGGAGTCTATAGATTTTTGGCATGGTGACTGGCTGAATTGCATCTAAAAAATATGTGAAAAATATGTTTACTCCCTAGGATAAAATCAGACATTTGACTGCATGGAGAGAAAATTCACAATTAGAGATAAAGATTAGCGATAGCTATTTGCACATTACGGTGATGCAAAGACCAGTGTCCTGTCCTATAAGACCTTTACCTATAGCTATTTAATCGTAGTATTTGTAGCATTAAAAGGTGAGTTTGATCTTAATGAGGGACAGAATTTACATTCAAGTGATGATACTTTTGCCTAAGTAAGACATTTACTTAAAACTGAAACCTGTGCAATGACTCTGAAATCAACTGGGATTGATTTAAAGATGCATTTTCTTGTGTTAAAGAAAAGCTTCCCGTTTTAGAGAGTGCAAAGGAAGTGGTGCGTGTGTTTGATCAGAGGCAGAACCTTTATTGTGGAGATGTGTTTCAGAGACGGTGCGGTAGCTGCACTTAATTCTAGGTCAGCTCCAGACTTCCACGAGCACTTGTTAAAGCGACTCCCCCAGAAACGAAGCTACGGCG